TTTGATGGATGCAGTCAAATTTTTTGCAAAAGTGAAAAATCACTTGAAGTTCAAAATTGTTATTACTTTTTCATCTATTTTCTTAATATCTTCAGTTATTTTTGTGTTATCCCCTAGCTAAATGTTAAATTCTGCTTGAATAAAAAACACATATAATAATAATTAGTCAGTATAAAATAAACAAATGAACCCGTGAGCATAAAAACGACTTATTAAACAATCGCCGAACAAAACGATACAAGAAAAAACTACCAAACAAAACACACGTTAAAAACGTAACACAGCAGGACGGTACCGTTCAAAACGAAACTCCGCTGTGCTACACATTACCGCTGTGGTACGTTTTGTTCGGTAGTTTTTTCTTGTATCGTTTGGTTCGGCGATTGTTTAATAAGTCGTTTTTATGCTCACGGGTTCAAATGTATTTGGCTTATATTGAAGAGTTTTTGGGTTTGTGGACACTGAACACAACATTCAATGAAAACCCAATAACAATGGGTATTTTGTGAAATGTCAATGCGCCATAGAACGACTATAGAGACAACAGGGATTTGATAATCTGAATCGAAATCGACAGTCGTAGTAGTAATAAAAAATAATAATGGGATATAAAGAATACTATTGCATTGAGTGATGCGAACACACCTATAAATGTTGTAAAAGCAAAACATAAATAATAAATTAACCAAACCAGTAGTGAACGAAAATTTTAACTTGTTTCATTTCTATTTCGCTGTTATTGATCTAAACTTTTTTGAGTTAATTTTTGGACATGAACGAAAAATTCAAGAAATCGCTGAGCAAATTGAAATGAGAATGTGCTAGTAAACAATGGTGGACAAAGCCAAATATTTTATAATGAAAAGGCAAGGAGTAATGCATTTCTCTCGGCGTTATAATGCAGGACAAGTAAGAGTCGCAGGTAAGTTCATTTGTGAATCTATTAGAAAAAATCATTCCAACCAAATCTGACGAAATGTTAAGCCAGTCGTTTCGACCAGAAAAATTTTGATTCAATTTATTTATTTACCGTGTAAGATTCAAACAAAAATAACTACAAATTTTTATTTGTTCGAAACGACTGGCTTACGAAATACAATGATTGCTGCGCAACTTAATGATCTAATGAAAGATGTGCATGTTTTACTTTTCCGCAGGACCCGTGGTCCTAAAGGTAATGTATTGCGATTGGACCAAATTTTAACACCCCCCAAAAACATGATTTCTATACGTTTTCAAGGCCGTAGAACACGAGAAAATGGTTTTTAGGACGATGTTTTGTGGGTCTGTCCCACGTCGTACGTCGTCCGTGCTGCACAATCTTTCTATATGTCCGGACTGTTTGAGCTATTGGCAAAAGATATTCATTTCCTTTTTTTGTGATGTGTTCGGGACCTTAAGAGCATGGTTTATAACTGTTCATGTTCACCATGTGTGTTTGACGTTCCAATAAAAAATTATAGCCATCCATCCGATCCATTCTATTCTTCGGAAAGTTCCTGGCCTGTAAAAAACAAAAAAAATTAATTAATTCATTGAAAGTACACTAAAATTCTGAATAAAAATATACCATCTCTGGTTTTAAGTTCCTGGGTTTTGAATAATATTCAAATTTGGTATGAAAAACGTCCTTCTTCTTCTGAAAGCACTTCAATACATCTCAATTAAATGAATAAAGACGATTTTGATTCGAGCTCTTTACATTATTTTTTCAAATAAAAAAATGCTTCCAATAATAATTGAAGCGACTATTAATCATGCAAAATTTCGGTTGGACATGAACATTCATATCAAATGTCGAAGTTTGAAAATCGCAAAGCTAGAGAGAATATACATGAGAATACAAAGCTATGTCAAATCTAGAATATTGATTTATATGTCTTATATAACATCCATCATTTCAGCTGTCATGAACAAACTTTCTCTCTCTTTGCGGTCAAAAATAAAATTTCGGTTTGATTTCGCTTTGCATGCGAATTATGGAGGGCATGATAACAGAAATAAAATTAAATCCTAATGTTTTCTGATGGCCTCCATGAGTTTTTCCATCCAGTCTGGCACACGATATCAATTTAAGAACATTGTAACAAACCGAATCGCAGAAGAAATTGTTTTCGCTTAGAACAGAAACCGCCCGAAAAGAAAAGAAATGAAAAGAAAAAGTTATGATGAAAAATCGTAACATCAAACATGAAAAAGAATCCAACATTTACATAGTATAGTACTATGGATCAACCACTCTCCACCCGATGTAATTTGATGCATTTGAATGGAAACAATCACAGAATACTTCAACTCAATTCACATGGAATTTGAAAAAGGTTTTGGTGTGAATATTTTTTCAATTTGTTGTGAAAGAAATAAATCCCATTTTTCTTTCATATAATTGAAAATAGATCTGAAACCGTTTGAAAATCATGTTTTTCACTTGTATTTTTGGTGCCTTAGGTCCCATATTCATTTCAGATTGCAAAATTGGTGGAATTTGTGATCGGGCATATGGGATAGGGTAAATAAATAGATACATAATCGCTATATGCCTAAATATTCTAAGATTTTCCTATTTTATTTTTGTTGACTAATTCGAGGTTAGCCCTTTATTTGTTTTTGGGAGAACCGAAAATGTCTTATTTTGATATAGTCTGCAAATAAATTGCCAATTGGAAATTTCGTATTTATGCGTCCTAACGTTTTGTATCCAAAAACTTTATTGAGAACAAAATAAAGACAATTAAGTTTTATGATGCGTTCAAATTTTCATTGTGAGGGAGGGCGTCAAAGCGTAACACAAAATAAAAAAAAAAATCCGTAAATTTTGTTCAAAAGTCGGCACATTGCTGTTGTATGTTAAGCCTATTGACTCGGAAGGGACTCATACCATAGTACCACTACGACTAATTAGCACCGTTCCCACGTGCGTCCGTCTTATCTACAATGAACCATTTTTCAGCTTCAAGTGTTATAATATATATTTTATTTTGGTTTGGAATATAGATTTTACAAATAAATCAATGATAGCAATCCGTTTGCATATTTTTCAGTGAAAAAAAAAAACGTAGAAAACGTGTTGCATGTACGACACATTCTTCAATTAAACATGAATCCAATAATCGAACGCGCAATGGTTAAAAGAAAAAGGCACGCTGCTCAAAGCGGAGAAAAGAAAGACGAGGAGAGAAATAAGAGAAAAGACCGACATGACTTTTTTCAAAGAAGTGGATTTTTTGGGTGAAATGTACCTTTTATTCTTTCAATGCGAGGAAATCAAACATTGACGCAGATGCAAATTACCATGCAAAGTGTAATCTACTAAATGTACGTAGATGCACGAATTGAGTATTTTTTGATGACATATTTCTTATACCATTTTCTACGCAAGTCTTCATTATTCTATTATCTAACACTTCATTATTTTATTGCCTCATTTGAAACCAAAGCAAGTTGGTGTCATTTCCCACAGAACACAGATTGCGGCTGTGCTCAAATACACGCTTAATCTTACGTACAATGTTCCAAATCCACCAAATCCTCTGTTTACAGACTAAACGAGAAACCTTACGAAATATATTTAATTCATAATCCCACCTTCTCAACAACACGTGAAATCATACGGATTATCCTTCATGAAGTGTTTTTCCATGTTGTCGAAAAAAAATCAAACAAGGGATCACACATTGGCACTCCAAAAAAGGAATATTGTTTTTTTCCTTTTTTCGGCAAGTTGAGATGAATTATCATTAAAAAAAAGTATATGAAAACATAAAATATTTAACTTGGAAATGGCTTCAATATTTATTTTGCTTTCACAAAGAACGCAATCTGAACCTTTCAGTGGCTGTGCATGAAATGCGTTAGTCATGTTTTGTCAACAGAAAATCATTATTTATCGATAGTCTGCTGAACTTGTATTTTATTTTCAAGTTGATAAAATGTTGGACTTCTAAGTCTGGAAATAATATTAATAAACAAACGAAAAATAGGAATCAAGTGAAAACATTGTGTTTTCGAATGATTTTTTCTTACAACATACACTAGCTCGCACAATGCGCAAACAAAATATATACATAATATATGTATGTATAACAAAATGTATCTATGCGGTTGATATCGTAACTTCACAACGGAAGATGTATCGTATGTAATGTATTATGAATGTTCTCTGAAAGAGAAATATATTATAGGGGTATAGGACAAATTTCCAGTGTTCAGTTTCAACGCGAATGTTTTATGCAAAAATTATACCATTAATTCATTTCGCAGTGAACAAAGATAAATTGTGGCAAAAAGTGCCCACAAAAAATTAAACACACAAGAAATGAAAACGAAAGCCTGGACCATATGACCATTTTATCTGTAGGAAAACACCAGTGCACTGGGATATGGGGATATAGAGACATGGAATTGCCGCAAACAAAACTATCAAACGAATTTGGAAGAAAAAGCTTTTGGAAACTGTTTCACTATTATGCAAAACACAAAACACAGTTCAATTAACATTTTCTGTGGAAGAAAAAAAAATAAAAGTCCATAACCCCATAAAAACTACATTTTCATTCTCTGTGGATTCAAATTCGCTGCGCTCATTTTTTATACACATTCTAATTTCTGCGTTTATCACTACATTCAGAACACTTCCATTCTCCCACTTTTATGCGAAGGATAACAATAACCTTATTTGGAATGTTTTCTCATACACAGGGTGAGAAGTACTTCTTTTTTCGGCCAAAACTGTCTACTTTTGCAAGGCCCCATTGTAAGCATACCCAATATTTCGAATAAACAGAAAATTTCAAGAGAATTGTAGTTTATCTTTAGACAAAACGTTATTACAGTTTTACATTTTACATCAGATTCGGAAAGTCTACCACTTTCCTTCTCTGATGAGAAAAAAATCAATATGATAAATACGCGGTGAAAATATTCAGCCGGAGTTACACCCTACATAGAAAAGCATTGGAGCGTTAAATTTGTTCAAAATGCAAATTAATCAAGGCGCCACATTTATATCGTATTCATTTATTTATTCACCAACCAGACTTGCGTCGGATATTCTTAAACATAAGTGATGTATTCAATATTCATTGCCAGTTGTCAGTCACTGATGATTTTAGAAAATATTTTGATAAATGATCTCATTGAATTTTTTTCTGCAAAATACTATTTTACTCTTGCCATATGAAAAGTATTGAATAAAAAAATGTTTGCAGATCGTGATGTTTTTCTTTGTTGATCAGTTGTCAAAACCGATTTCTTTTTCTCGATCTCGATGCAAGCGGGTCAGAAGGTGTGTGCGTAAGATTTCAGTTGTATCAATTTCCGTTGCGCAAAGCTTGCATGCGACCGGCCTCGGTAAGAACATCGTCCTATGTGCAATGAAGACAGTATGTTAGTTAAAATTTGAATGTAATTTTCGCAAAGATGTTTTACATTTGACGTAGCTCTGAACAATGCAACCTCAATCGCTTCTTCATGTTGTTATCCATGTTATCGCGAATGCGTGGTAAACCATGTAAAGGAAAAATTGCGGCGGAACCGTACACGTCATTATCTGCTGCTTTGAAATCTGAATGTTCATATTGCTGCCATTCATGTGAAACCGAATGAATTTCCTTTGCAAGTCTTTTTTTGGTCAACAACCTTCCAATAATAACAAAAAAATAATCATTTTAAAAAGTGCGTCCAATATATGTGTGAATATGATTTCGAAAACAGTTCCTATTTTTGATTTTGTAAAATGGAACAAAAGCATAATAAAATTTGGTTGGCATATTTTTTCAACGTGGCGGCGGTGTACTAATTGCAACCAAAAACGAAAAGTTTGCCAGTGAAGAGATTAAAATTGCCGGTGCTGACCATTTGGAATACGTTTGTGTGAAAGCTACTACTAAATCACACGTCATCTACATCTACTGTGCATACATTCCACCAAATTCACCGCAAACAATCTACGATTCACATTTAGCAGCTATGCACAAAATCGCTACCGATCCTGAAGATGTTGTTATTTTTGTTGGTGAATTTAATCTGCCACATGTGGAATGGTCAACCGATAGCGATGACGACAACATCATGATTCCAACTAAATTTGCACCTGAGTACACGGCCACTTTCATCCAGGGACTCATGAGCATGGGAGTTCATCAGGTAAATCATGTACGTAATGATTCAAAAGAACGACTATTGGACCTGTTCTTTACTAATGATTTTACCAACATCTCAATTGAGCGTGTGAACGAGGCTAACGCACTGACGGAAGTGGAAGATCATCATCCACAGGGACATGAATGCACATCTGGCAAATGTCAATTTTACCGAGTTGTTCCATGGAAAGACAATCATCGAGAAGGTGAACTTGCTGCATAAGATTTTGGACGACAACTGTTGATCATTATTGATGACACCGCAAAACAAAACAAAATCAAGAACAAACACGACTTAAAGATTCAAATATGCAATCGGAGCAAATATGGCATACTCGGTCATGTGCAATTGCAAAACTTACTGTCGCTATCGATCATTTCGCAACTCCGATTCGAAGATACAAGTAGTAATACACAATGGAAAAATCAAATTAAAGTGGGATTCCGCCGAAAAAACTCAAAACATCACATTCTTTCCAAGTCAAGTTGGTTTTTCTAATGAAAGCCGTAAGTTGAAGACAGACATTCCGTATGGCTGCATATTGAGCTGAGCTATTTACAAATAGCTGGCTGTTTGGTACATTTTGGTTTTGTGACTATCGAACCATGTAAATTCATGTGAGATGATAAATTTATGACACAAATTCATAGAAAGGATGGAAAAAGGTGTCCCAAATTTATCATCTCACATGAATTTGCATGGCTCGATAGTCACAAAATCAAAATGTACCAAACAGCCAGCTATTTGTAATTAGCTCAGCTCAATATGCAGCCATACGGAATGTCTGGTTGAAGATAGCTAAAATTAATATTTATGTCAGTGTTGGTCGATTTATTCGAGTTTAATGAATTGAAATAAAAACATAGGTGATAGTGAAATGGATGTAGATCCGCCCACTGCGCAAGATATTGAACCATCTACATCGCAAGTAGAACCGACTACTTCACAGTTCCAAAATAATTCCTTGGGAAAAATCGATGAGCCAGATTATGATCTAAAATACTCAAATTACATCCATTCTTTTAGTGTTCAGCAAGCTGATGGTTCACGGCGTTTTGTCTATTGCAAATTGTGCAATAAATACCCCGTCATCTCCCGTAAATTTCAAGTTTTTTTTTTCAATGGGCTGCTCTTAATTATTCTTAAATTAATCTATGGCATGCACCCATTGATACTAAAGAATTGTGCGAGTCATTTGGCGGCTCCACTCACGGAGATCTTCAATGAATCATTGTCAGCTGGCCGTTTCCCTGACAAGTGGAAGCGCTCGAGTGCGCAAGTAGACGTTCTCTACACGGACTTCAGTAAAGCGTTTGACAGAGTAAACTACAAGAGATTGATTCTGAAACTCAGATCGTTCAACCTGCTAGAAAATCTTCTTGCTTGGATCGAATCATATCTGTCAAACCGAACTCAATTCGTTAAGTATGGGAGCAGCGAGTCGAACGAATTCAACGTATCATCTGGCGTACCACAGGGTAGTCATCTCGGACCCACACTATTCCTGTTGTTCATCAACGACATAGTGGACGAAATGGACGACGTGTTCATTTC